AAAAAAAAAAAAAACGTTACATTTAAAAAAGAAGAAAACACGTGTTGGCGGGATGTAGAGAAATGAAAACCTGAGCACCATCAGTGAAAATGGAAAATGGTGCAGCCGCTATGGGAGCTAGTTAGTACGACTGCTCAGAAATTAACGGTAGAACGTCAAGTATCATTTAAAAAATAATCACACGGATGTAAAGTATAGCACTTTATTGCAGTAACTATGTACAGTGTCAGATGGGTAACGGACTTATTGGGGTGATCTCTTTGTGAGGCATATAACTGTTAATCACTTCGTTTTTTGTACACTTGAAACTGATAAAAATAAATAATAAAATACAAAATGAATGGTGGGACTGCCCTGTGGCCCGGCAACTCCACGTCTGTTAGGCGCCCAAACAATGTGAGGTGGGAGCACACCGTTCACAGCGGCGTGACTCACAGTGGCCGAGGGGCGAAGGCGGCCAGGTGTCCCTGGGCGGATAAAGGAACAGCTATATGTGTCCATCAGACAATGGACTGTTGTTCAGCCTTCAAACAAGCAGGATGACACCCTGGCACCTGCTACGACACAGACGGACCTGGAGGACATCGTGCTGAGTGAAACAAGCCCATCACAGGAGGACAAGCACTGTGTGATTCCACTTCAGGCACAGCCCTCGTGTCGTCACAATCAGAGGCAGATGCAGCACGGTGGGTGCGGGGCTGGGGCTGGGCAGTTAGTGTCTGAGGGGGACAGAGTCTCCGTTTGGGAAGATGAAGAGGTCCGGGGGTGACAGTGGGGACAGGAGCACAGCTGTGTGAAGGTGCTTAATGCCCCTGAACTGCATGATGAAAAAAGGTTAAAAGGGTACATTTTATATTATGTATATTTCGTCACAGTGAAAATTTTCAAAATACAAGTTTTTGAAATGAGTCAAAGAACAAAAGTGGGGGAGAGATAAGCATTGGCCTTGGGGACTTGAGGATTGGAATGAGGCTTGCAGGCGTCATTTCCATTGAATCTAAGTCGGCAGAGAAGAAACTGGGGGCTCCCCCTGCCCTCCCCTCAACTCCGAGCCCAGGCGTTCACAGCGTCCCATCAGGCACACTGTTCTGTCACTGACCTCAGCTGGGGCCAGTGAGTGTGGGGAACGGGTGCCTGCGACCACCAGCCCAAAGGGACGTGTGACCCTTTCAGAGGCAGCTCCTGCATCCACGCAGACAGTCCCAACAGCTCCATCCCGGAGTCCAGATGTGTCCTGCAATGCCATAGATCACGTCCTTTGATGTCACAGGCCACTCTCTGATGTCACTGGTCATCCTTGCTGACATCACAGGTCACCCTCTGATATCACCCTTGATGATGTCACCAGTCACCCTCTGATGTCACAGGTCACACTTGCTGATGGCAGTCACGTCCTTATGGACAGCTGTGGGCAGGTGGTAGAGGGTTCCACAAGGCAGTTCCACAAGGAAGCTCGTCTGGGGCCCCATGGGTTCCCTGTGGGGGTGCCTGGTCTGGGCTGATGGGCCCTTTCCTCAACCCGTGTTCACAGAGTGGCCCCTTGCAGAGAGACACGCCCCTGGTGAGCCCGGGTCACCCCTGCATCTCACTTAGATTGTTCTTGAATGTGGGCTCTGAGACCAGCTCGGATCAAAGACTCTGCTGGGGGCCGGTGTCTGTTCCTATTTGGTCATGACCGTGCAGTTGGGACAAGAAAGTTTCCTTGGGCCTCCCGTCTCTGAAACACCGATCCTGGACAAGGCACTCCTGGGAACTGTGCTTGGTCCCGCTGTCACTGTGCAGGTGGCTCCTGTGGGGACAGTATGCAGCAGCGAGTGGTTTGGGGAGACGCTGTGGGGCAGGCAGCCAGGAGTGACCTTGTCTCCCTTTTTCCTGCTCGCCTGGGAAGACGGCTGTCCTGGCACCTGAATGCAGGCAGGTGAGTTTTCGAGGCCCTTCTCTGCATCGTGGCCGGGTCTAGGAGACCCGCCCATGGCCGTGGTTTTCCATTTCTCTTTGAGAACCCACTGTGTCTGCTTCAAAACAAAAACGAGAGGGACGGACACATTTCACATTTGTACCCAAAGAGAGAACACGTGTGCACCAGGCACAGGCAGCTGAGGGCACTGACACACACGGCAGTGAACGTCCAGCGCGGGCGACCGTGCACCTGTGTACCTGCTGCATGGGCCACGGGCCCGTGTCCCGGAGTGTGGCCGTGGGCCATGTTTGGCGTGCATGCCTGGGCTCATGTGCCCAGCACTGCAGACGCCTCCGGAGCTCTGACCTCCGTCCAGGTGCCTGGTCCACTCTGCCTGCTGCTAACAGCCATTGTTTTCAGCACTAGCCCTGGTTTCGGTTCATCGCTCTGTTTTCTGTCTACAATCTACAATTCCTGGCTTTTTTTTTTTTTTAGATTTTTTATTGGGAATTTGGGGGAGGGGAACAGCATTGGGGACTCGGGGAAAGGGAACAGACAAGTTGCTGTTCTTTTGTTCTTCAGTCTAGTTGTGGAGGACGTCGCTTCACTGGCCCATGTTGGTATTATCATTGCGCTCTTCCCAGGTGAGGCAGTTGCTCGCCGGCCACTGGACGGCTGCTCACAGCGTCTCTTGGCAGCTCACGCCGGCTGCCGGCCACTCACGGTAGCTTATGGCAGCCCATTGCAGCAGGGGCTGCAGCCTACGCCACAGCCGGTGACTCACAGCAGCCCAGCTCCAGGTCGAGCTGTTGTTCACCATCTTAGCTGTAGAGGGCACAGCGTCACTGGCCTTCATGTGGGATCTGAACCAGGGCCCTGCTGCTCAGAACTGTTGTCCCAAGCCAGCTCTTAACCAACACGCCAGTCGGCTGGCCCTACAATTCCTGGCTTTTCCCTCCCGACAGTGGTTTGTGTGCGTCCCATGGTGGGCCGGCTTCAGGTCCGTTAAAACCCAGTAGCCACAGTGCCTGCATTGTAACTCTCATCAGTCACAGCTATGTCTCCAATGAACTAAGTCTCTGAATTCTGAAAAAGCCCTTGGTCGGGTCAGGCCAGAGAAACAGCTAAACTCAGGTGGTCCTAAGTGTTTCTTGTGGGCCCAGCCGGCCCGCGTCAGCCTGCAGTCCAGTTTCCTGTGCTGCTGCCAGGGTTATCGCCGTCAGGGGACACACAGCTGAGTGCTCCCTTCTCCGTCGCCCCATGTGCTGCTGTGAATTTTAATCCATGTAGATTTATCTTTAAAATCAATTAAAACAGCCCTTTTCGAAGAATTGGGCTGCAGTTCGGTAGTTTGTGAAATTGCAGAACTTAACACTAACTTCTGAGGTTCCTGAGACGCTGACCCGGATGTGGGAGCAGGCAGGGGCACGTCCGGTCGCCTCTGCCCTCAGACCCGCTCGGGAGGGGGTGGGGGGGTCAACATCAGCGTCTGGATAAGAGGACAAAGGGACGATGGAGCTGGAAGGAGCCTTATGCAGGGTGACCTCCCACGCCGCCCAGGAAGGAGGAGACGGACGCAGGGCTCCGGCCACCCGCCCCTCCAGGCTATGGAGACTTCAACCAGTTTCACTGCCACTGTCGTCAGAAAGCCAGGATCAGAGAAGCATGCGTGCAGGGGGCTGCGGGGCCCTCAGACCTCACTCAAACCAGACGTACAGACAGCAGAGGACAAGTCCCACTGTGAACACAGCTCCTCGGGCCACTGGTGCCATCGACAGGGCTTTCCGCCATGATGGCGTGTTCCAGATCTGTGTGGCCTGCAGGGCGGCCCCTGGCCGTGAGGGACTCCTGGGCACTTGAAGTGCGGCCCCCACGATGGAGGCATTGGCCTTTTCCTTTCATTCAATGCTAGAGACGCCACGCGTGGCCGGTGGCTCCATGCTGGAGGCACAGGTCCTGCACCGGCTCTTGGTGCCCCCTCCACACCCCAGCCCCAGTGCTGAGGGGCGGACAGCTGTCAAGTGGGGGAACCGGAGTGGGACACGGGCAGTGTGACAGCAGAGCCCAGGCTCCCCGAAACACTGTCAGGAAAATGAAGGCTCCACCAGCTTGGGGCAGCTCATGGCGGCGCTCAGCAGGCCTCGTCCGGAGTGTCCGCCTCACCTGTGTTCTGTGGAGACCACGGCCACCCCTCACAGTATGCCGGCCTCCCCTGCAGTTTGCACACAGCCAACTGGGCAGAGGGCTGTGCTGTGCTCAGTCTACACCGCCTGCCCGCAGCCCTGGCCAGGAGGTGCCAACCATCGGCTGCCCTGCAGTCAAGATACCGGCTCCTGGAAGGAGACAGCTGTGGGGCCACATTCTCAGCAGAACCACCAGATAGAGGGCATTCAAATGTTTAAACAGAAACAGGTCCTGCGCTTTTCGTTTTGCAGAATTGGTCAGCAACAAATGCCCTCAACAAAGCAGAGGCCACCGCCGTAGGATGAGATTGGGGGAGCTTGTTTGCATTTGAGCCGAAGCAGTTTCCCCAAACGAGCACCTGGGTGCATCTGCTTTCAGGTGAACACCCTGTCAGTGTGGTGCCTGGGCCCCCTGCCCAGTTAACAGGGCGCAGTTTCCAGGAGCCTGAGGGTCCCTGGGCCTCTGCCCCCTGCCCTGGCCTCACTGTGGCCCCTCCACACCCATCCTGTTCTTGCAGGAAAAGCCGACCTCACAGCCCAGCCAAAGCCCCCTGGACTTGAGGCCCCACTCACTGGGAGCCCAGGACCACCTCCCTCCTCAGCCTGGGGCTGGTGGGCACACAGGCTGTCCTACCTACAAAAGAAGGGGCCCTGTCTAGACTGGGGTCATTGCTAACATTTGCTGACCTGAGCCGGCCTGTCCTCGGGCGTCCCTGCCCAACCTCTGTGTGTTGAGCACCAGACTGTGCCCACAGGACTGCGGGGGTGGGGTGGCCCCTGCCAGGCAAGCCTGTGGCTTCTCCTGGGAGGACGTGGCACCCTCTTTCTGAAAACAAGTTCTCCAGGGAGGAGCTGGGCCCAGTGCTGCTGGGGACATGAAGCAGAGCTGGGGCCCCCGGCTCCCCTGCAACCTGGGGGTCTTGGGGCTGCTTTCCTCACGGGGATGTGACCTGGCTGAAGCCCCCACTGTCAGCTCTCTGGACAGAAGTCCCACGCAAGCTGGCAGCAGGGGCCCATCCGCTGGGGTCTGTGTCCTCGTCCTGGGGCACATTCACGCCAACTGTTAAAGTGGCTGCTAGAGGAACACAGGGCGCCTCCTGCAGCGCTTGGCCCAGGCCTCCGGCCGCTGCAGCCTCCGTGGTCCAAGGAGAGGCGGCCCCAGCAAGACTGCAGGGCTGGGCGTGGGTGGGGGGGTCCTCCTTCCATGAGGCAGAGTTGCTGGGACGAGGGGTGCGGGGTGGGGGCCTTGGTGGGCACACCTGTGACTGAGAATCTGTCCCTGTGACCCGGGACACCTGGGACCACACATGCCTAGGCGGGGACAGCTGCCGCCCTATGACTGACCCTCAGGACCAGGGAGGCCCGAAGGAGGCATTGCCCCAGGTGTCCAGCCTCCTGACTACAATGTGATGTCTGCAGAACTCGCCAGAAGGGCAGGTCCCTGGGAGGCAGGGCCGCGTCCCAGGAGGTCCGAGCGTTGGACACAGACCCCCACCCTCCTCTGCCTGCCTTTCTGTCCTGGGGGCCTGTGGGGGCCTGGAGTTCTTGGGGGGCAGTTAGTAAAGGGTGATTTTTGGCTGCAGTTTTTTAAGTGGGTCAGTCAAATCCACTTCTTTGCGTCAGTTTACTGAGATACCTGTGTGCCTCGGCCCCCGGGTCTGCCCTGGGCCACCCACGGCAGGGCTCTGACTCCCACTTGTGCACGGACACCTTCTCTCGCTGCAAGCCGGCACCCCAAGGACTTCCTCGTGAGCCCTGTGTGTCCCCTCGTGCTAACATGTTTGCGTCCTGTGTGGGCCCTGCAGAAATGCGGATGCAGGCGGGCAGAGGGAAGCCTGTCTGAGTGCTTCCCGAGGCCAGGCGCCCGCCAAGGGAGGTGGCCGCCCTGCACTCGCCAGCTGTCCCTTGTCCCCTGCAGGAGCTGGAGCAGCAGCTCATGATGGAGAAGAGGAACTACCGGAAGACGCTGAAGTTCTACCAGAAGCTCCTGCAGAAGGAGAAACGGAGCAAAGGTAGTGCCGTGTGCGCCCGGCCTGCACGGTGGCACGGAGGCCCCACATGCCAGGCCCGCCGCGTGCTGACTCTGCCCTGCCCCCAGGCTCTGAGGTCAAGACGATGCTGTCCAAACTGAAGGGGCAGCTGGAGGAAATGAAGTCCAAGGTGCAGTTCCTCGGGCTCGTCAAGAAGTACCTACAGGTGAGTCGCCCGGTTCCGTTCCCTCCCTCGCGTCTCCTGTGGTTAAAACCTTGGATCGGTCATAAAAACAAACGCTGATTTTTGAGGAACCACAGGCTGCGCGAGCCCCTGAGGTCAGTGGCAGGGTGACTGGGCACCGTTGTCCCGCACACACCTGGTGGCAGCAGGTCAACCGGCAGTGGTGACCCACTCTCCCCCCAGGTCACGTACGCAGAGCAGTGGGGCCTGGAGCCCTGCACGCTGCCGCTGGCCGTGAACGTCGCATCTGCCCGCTGCGACGCGCTGGACTTCAGCCCCCTGGACGAATCCTCTTCTCTCATCTTCTACAACGTCAGCAAGCACCCGCGCAGCAGCCGCCAGGGGAAGGCCCGCGCCCTGCAGGCCGGCACTCCGCTGGGGCTCATGGCGTACCTCTACTCCAGGTAGAGCTGCTGGTGCCCGGCGGGCATGGGCCTCAGCTCCCGCGAGAGCAAAAGGGAAAAGGAACAAAGAAATGGGCCCGGAGGAGGCGGGACGGGGAGAGCCTAGGCCTGCCTCTCTGAGGTGGCCCACACTGTTTTATGTAGCAGAGATTTTCACCAGAGCTTTAAGATGAGGTGTTAGCTGCCACGTGCCCCCTTTGCCAGACTCCTGGCCTGAGCAACCTCAGAGCCACAGGCCCCGCCACACACAAACCTGTGGCCTGGGCGCTGGGTCTCAGTCATGGTTAACTGCCCAACGGGCCTCTCAAACACACACAGGCACCGCGGGGACACGCCTGGATCCCGTCCACTCCCCTGAGTCAGAACACCCTGCAATTGATTGGCTCCCCAGGGATGGCAGCATTTCTGCAGACACCCTGACCATTAAGTGCAGGTGTGCCGTCCACTCACACTCAGCGTTACAGGGACCCTGGGCCACCCCAGCACCCCCGCCGCTCCACCGCTCTGCCCACCATGTCCGCAGACACAGCACCGCGTCCTTCGTGGGCCTCTGAGCTCCACGCTCATACACGGAGTTCCTCACAGTTACACAGCACTCAGTCACGCTCACACGCTCACGCCCCCGCGCATTTATCCCAGAACCTCAGTGAAGGCTGTGGGAGCCCCCCACACACACAGGTCGGCCCGGCGGCCTGACGTCCCTCCCCCGCCCCCCCGCCCCCCACAGCGGCGCCTTCCTGGAGGGCTACGTGCAGCAGTTTCTGTACACCTTCCGCTACTTCTGCACGCCGCAGGACTTCCTGCACTTCCTGCTCGACCGCATCAGCAGCGCCCTGGCCAGGTATGCAAAGCCCCCTGCACCCCGCACCTCATTTGCTGGCTGTGAAGGGCGGGTGACATGCGCCCTGGTGACCCTAACAAGGAAGGATGAGGGCGGAGCCCGGCTGGACAAGGAGGCGGCAAGGCAGCCCGCAGTGGCAGGAGGGAACGCGGCCTACCCAGAAGCTGCGATGCCCGCGGGGCGGGCAGCACCGGGACGCGAGGGGAGGAGGTCCTGCAGGCCACCAGCAGCGTCCCCACAGCTGGCCAGCTCGGGTGGAGGGTGGAGGGTGGGCCGCTCCGCCAGCTCTGAGCTGGCTCATCGGCCCTCGCCCCCAGCACTGCGCACCCTCTCAGCAGGCTGGGAGCCAGGGGCCGGCGGCAGCCGCCCCTTGTTGTGGGGGCGGGACTCACAGGAGGCCCCACCCTGCTTGATGGGAGCCCCTCCCACAGCTCCCTGCCCCTCTGGTGTCCTGGGCACTGGCTGTGGGCGTGGCAGGTGCAGGAGCCGCACAGGCCCCGCCCCAGACGCTGAGCCCTGGGCCCCCCCAGCGTGGCTGCTGCAGCTCCTGGGCAGGCAGGGTAAGGGCTGACGCCCCCTTGAAGGCAGAGCTGCATCCAGACCCCACCCGCCCCCCTTGCTTGGAGGGGTGACGCTGAGCAGGACAGAACCACGTGCTGGCAGGAGACCCTGAGCGGCTCAGGTCTCCTCCATCTGCCTCCAGAGCCCAGCAAGACCCCACCTCGACCTTCACCAAGATCTACAAGAGGAGCTTCTGCCTCCTGCAGGCCTGGGTGGGCGACTGCTACGCCGTGGACTTCAAGAGGAACGCCAGGCTGCTGAGGAGGCTCGAGGACTTCATCTCCGCCCAGGTGACACTAGGCAGACCGGTGGCCAGAACGGCCCGCGGGCAGCACTCTACCAGTGGGAACCACTGCCCGGTCCGGGAAGCAGCACTGACCCCTCAGCTTCTGTCCAGATCCTGCCCCTGGACGGCTCCGCGGAGCACCTGCTGGGCCTCCTGGAAGTGAGCGCAGACCGGTGGGCCGAGGGCGCCCCGCGCGGCACAGGCCTGGAGGACCCCAAGGAGGCCGAGGAGGACGTCAGACCCCTCAACGCCCTCTGTAAGAGGTTCTCGGAAGACGGCATCTCCCGCAAGGTGGGGTCTTCCGCAGCCCGCAGCGTGCATGCGCAGCGCACAGACACACACACGCACACACGCCCTGCACATGCACACCTGCTCCCGTGCTGCCAGGCCTGGGACCTGCCCTGTGGGGCTGCAGTCCGGTCCCGTCACCCTGGGCAAAGACAGGCACTCAGATAACCTCTCCTTCCTCACCCTGGGGCCAGAGATCCATGTGGAAGAAACCATTGTCAGGGCGTGGCCTGGGCGGGGGCAGGGTCTGAGGGAACTTTTCTGTAATCTATGGGGACAGTCCCGAACCTCAGCGGCTCTGTCCATGGGGGACCCGCTGAAATGACCAAGGCAGATGTCTGTGGGCGGGAGGCATTTGTTCTCTGGCTGTACCTGAGCCGGTCTGAAGGGTCCCGGGCCTGGAGCCGCCTGGTGCCCCGCCCACCGCCTGACCCCACTGGCCCCGCAGAGCTTCCCCTGGAGGCTGTCACGGGGCAATGGGTTGGCACTGCCACACCACAAGGAGCACCAGTACAGCATTGCGTCCGCCCTGCCCAAGCCCTGTTTCTTCGAGGACTTGTGCGGCCCCTACACCAAGGCCAGCGCCAAGGGGCCCTACTTCCTGACCGAGTACAGCACCCACCAGCTCTTCATCCAGCTCACGCTGCTGCAGCAGGTGAGGGCCTGCCAGGCCGGGTGGGGGCGCGGGCCCCGCAGACGTGTGCTGGAGAGCCACGTGGACGCACTGACGGGGGCAGCTGCCAGATGCATGGGCCGGGGGAGCCGCCACCTCGGGGGGCGCAGGAGGGGCACTGGCGCTGGGCCCACAAAGGGCACATAGGGCCCACCGCCCACCAACGCCTACGTCCCCCACACTCCCACCTCAAGAGCACTGGAGGGCGCCCTGCGGGCTGCTGTGGGACACCGGCCTCCTGTATCCCGTAGCTGGACTGACGGGCAGTGGCCCTTTGGGCCCCTGCACTGCAGGGCTCAGGCGTCTCTGGGCTCATTCGCCCCTTTTCCGGAGCCCAGCCCTCAGGCATCCCCTTCCAGGGCCCTCCGCCATCCTGGACCCCACCATCCTGAAAGGTGACAGCAGTTACAGAGGCCCAGCATGATCACAGCTGGGCAGACACAATCACAGCTGGACACACACCAGAGCCCCCCAAGGGCCGGGCCCTGCAGCACACTGGGTGGGCACTGACCTCCTGACTGCAGAGATGCCCCCATCACCCCCAGCTTCAACCACGAAGTTCCTAGGGAAGGTGCCCTGACCATCTGTGTCCTTGTCTCTGGCAGGAGTTGTTTCAAAAGTGCCATCCCGTCCATTTCCTAAACTCACGGGCCCTGGGTGTCACGGACAAAAGTGCGGCCATCCCCAAGTGAGTGTCCACCTGTGGCGTTGGCCCCAGTGTCCTGGGATGGATGGCTGGCAGGAGGGGCTTGGAGGTGGCGGGGGCGGGGAGGCTTCACCGAAGTGTCTCGTGGACACTCTTGGCCAAAGAGAGATGCTGGTGTCACGAACGGCCCGAGCCAGCCCTTCCGCACAGCCAGCCTCACTGACCATGCACTTGTCTCTTCCAGACCCAGCTCCGAGTCTCTGTCGGCCAAAACCTGCAGCTTATTTCTGCCCAATTATGTCCAGGACAAGTACCTGTTACACCTTTTAAGAAATGCAGACGACGTCAGCACCTGGGTGGCCGCTGAGATTGTGACCAGCCACACCTCTAAGGTTGGCACCTACACAGTTCTGATCTCAGAGCTGGGTATGGGGTCTGACCACACCTCCTGTGGGACCCTGGTTGTTGTAGCTCCAAGTGCCGGGGATCCGCAGAGCCGACCCAGCCGAGGGTAAAGCCACCCAACACGCACTGCCTGTCACACACCCCAGCCTGGACAGCTCTTCAGTCTTGGAGACACACATTGGCTCTGAGCCACCATGACAAGCCTCAGTCCACCATGGAGTCCCCACACGTATGCCACTCAGACACACATATGTTTCACACAAATGCATATGCTCTGTCCTGTACGTAGTCTCATATGCAGTCACTGTCACACACACACACCCCTCACGCAGTCCCACACTCGAGGTCCAGCGCACACTCCCCCTGGGACTCCCACCACACTCCTGCCTGAGCGGTGTCCCAGGGCTGGGAACTGTGACTCCAGACTGTCCCACCGTCCTGAACGCCTTGGTGGTGGGGATCGACTTGGTCACTGTCACATCCCCTGCAGGCAGCACCTTGTGTGTCCTGAGCCAGTTTGTAGAACAAGTGACTCAGGTCGGTGGCCCATAAGGCCAATTCCCCACCTCCCGGGACTGGGCCCGGCTCGTCTGGGTCCCGTGGGGCTTGGGCTGGACTGTGGGTGTGTCAGCCCGAACTGACCCGGCCTCTGCAACTTTTGTTTCCTTCGCCATAGTCCCTTGTGTCCCCTTCCCCAAACTCCACAGGGCAACCCCAAGTCCTGTTAACAAATGCAGAGTTTTCTACTCCTTCCCTTTTTGGGGTGCATTTCCGAGCTCAGGGATTTATTAGCCGACAGATGGACCCATCCTCCCTCTGCCAGGATGTGGGAACAGGGACCTGGTTTGTTCTAAACCACGGTATTTCAAATGTCATGAGTGACATCGAATGCAGCTCGCCCCTACCCGGGCGTCACACAGGGAGGGGCCTGTGTAGTTGGGCTTCGCAAGGACCTTCCAGGGGAATGTGAACAAGAATAGTTGACAGTCACTGCACCGACCTCGCCTCCCGGGACCTTTACTAATCCTGAGCCCCCGAGAAGGCGGCCCCCCTGCAGCCTGAGAGGTGGGCTCTCGTCCTGAGTCTGCAGGTGCCTGGCACATCCCCATGCGGTGCCGTCAGCGTCGGCACCCGGCCTGGAAGGGCGGAAAGACTGCGGGCGTCGCTTTGACAAAACTTCCACGGACGTGAACGGGCTCCCACGTGCCTGTAAGCAAAAGACAGAAACAGAACGGTTCCCACGAGCGGCACTCACCCACGAAGCAGGAACCGATGGCAGCGAGCGCCCAGTGCGTCCCGTCAGGGGACACGGTTCTGAGAAAGAGCACGTGGGCCTTCAGCCCGTGTGCCCGTCATGTCTGAGGTACCTGCTGTCTTCACGCCTTGTGTGTTACTTTGACGTCAGGACAGGCCAGAGGACCAACTCTAATCTGTGTAAACTGATCACAGAAAGTTGTTAGAATTCAAACTTTGAGCCAGGCAGTCAATACAAGCCCTCGGGAGAACAATACATCTCGTTCAGATGACACCCTGGAGCCATGGGGTGGAAATCCAAGTTCAAGAAGAAAAAGAAACAGAGTCAAGTTTCTCACCTTAAAGAAAAGCTTTGTCTTTGATGAAAATTGGTGAGCTTGAAGGCAAAGCAGGATTTTTATTCCTCAGATAAGTGTAAAAGCGATGGAACACAACAGCCAAAGGAAAGAAGGAAACCACCGAGAGGTGACAAACGCCACCTGTCCACACGGTGCTGCTCAGCCTGAAAAAGGAGACTGATCGTGGCCCCAGCTACACGTGGGTGAACCGTGGGGACATCCCACGGAGAGAACGAGCCCGTCACAAGAAGACAAGTGCGGCTGATGCCGCCATAGGGGGGCCTGCAGCAGAGAAACTCAGAACGGAAGTGGGCGGGGCGGGCGCCGTGCAGTGGGGACCCTGTCAGTTTGACAAGACAAGGAGTCCTAGAGACGTGACACAAGCGGTGGACATAGTTAACAACACTGAACTATATGAAAAATGGCTAAATGGGTAAATTTTATATTACTATTTATTAACCACAAAAAATTGTTTAAAAGACCCAAAGGCAACGGAACAGTTTTATCTGAAAGTGTCTGACATTGCACACTTTGCATCTACTTAAATATACGAAGAAACACGTGAGATGTCAAAGCACATGAGTAGGAAAACGATTTTCAAGACCCCTCAGCACCATTCAGATGGCTGGGAGCATACACAGGGAGCGACCTCCAGGGACATCCGAGTGACCACAGACGGGATCAAGCCCAGTGGACGGGCATCAGGGACTGTGCCCGCCTGAAGGCTGGCCCCAGCCACGGCAACAGTCTGCAGGGTGAGGCGGCTCTGAAAGGAGGAGTCACCTGGATTCAGTATCTTCCAGAAGTCTGAGCTTGTGTGCACGCCGAGTGCTGTCCGTGGGCCCTCGGGTCTGGTGTGAGGTGGTGCCGTTAGGAATGACGTCCCTTTGGGTAGCTGCTCACCGGGGGCTTCCCATCAAATCCTGTGAGCTTGCCACCAAGGTAGCAGTGAGACCGCATGGGACCACGTCCTGGTCAGGCGCTGAACCCGCATCCTGCGGTGGACACCGGCCCGGCGGGCAGTAGAAGCTGCCGTTTGTGCCGTTTGCTTCTGGATGCATCGGCTGCCTCTTCCCGGGTGGGCTGCCTTGCCAGTCCTGCAGCTGTGCCCGCCCCCATCTGTGCCACTCCAGAGCAGCGGTTTGTTCCAGGAGTGGTTGCACCGAGACGTGACATTGAGTTTGCTGCACATCTGTACACTATTTGGGCATTTGCTTTTTGTTTGTGTTTAATGCCCACCTGCCTGCTCACTGCACACTCGGTGGGGCACACGCTTCCTTACGCCCTGACACTGTGTTCTTCCCACAGGCCCTAAAACGTTCTCCCCCATCTGTCCGTTGTAGCTGCAAGACGCTGAACACTCCATTTTCCCGTTTCAGCTGCAGGTGACTCTGCTGTCCAAATTTTTGCTGATTGCGAAATTGTGCTATGAGCACAGAAACTTTGCGACAGCTATGCAGATCCTGGGTGGCCTGGAGCACATCACCGTGAGGCAGTCCCCCGTGAGTCCGCCTGGAGGCCGCAAGGTGGGGGCGGGCACCCACACGCTGCCCGCCTCACCTGCGCTTTCATTCTAGGCCTGGAGAATCTTACCCGCAAAGGTAGCAGAGGTCATGGAGGAGCTTAAAGCCGTGGAGGTACGGCTGCTTTGCATGAGCTTCTAGCAGCTTGTGTCCACCTGGGCCCCTCCTTAGCAACACGCTCTGCACACCTGGGGGTCCGGCCCAGCAGAGCCGGCAGCATGGCCCCCAGACCACATGGTCCCCTCGGGGTCATGCTTGGAGCAGCCCCACCTCGCCCATCGGGCACAGGCAGCTCCAGGGCCCACCTGCCGGCCAGTGGCACGGTACAGATGCCCAGGGGATCTGAGCTTGGCTGACTGGCAGCACCGCCTCACGAGATGCTAAGTCAGGAACCACTGTTTGTCATGACGGGCACCTCCCCCCAACAAGGCAGCGGGAGCGGACTGCCGCAGATGTCCAGGCAGCCCCACCCTGGACACAGCTCCCTGCGGGGGGAGGGCTGTGTGTGCCCTTGGCTGGCACCAGACCCGCATCCCTGCAGCTGGCCAGCCCGGCTCTCCATCTCGTTTGGGACTTGGTCACCCGGCGCCTTTCTGGAGGTCGTGGGGAAATCAGTCAGGACGGGAGCCGGCCAGTTCAGTAGTGGGAGGTGTGCAGCTGTCCGACGAGTGTCAGTACTCCTCGGCGTCCGCAAGCTAAGACACCTAGACCCTCAGTCCCCAATCCAGTCATCCAGGGTGCGTCTTGGATGGGTTGTAAGTCAGAGTGCTGCCAGCGCCATGCTCTGCTTCGGGAACAGGCGCCGCCTGGGGTCGGCTGGGCTGAGCGGCCCTGGCCGAGTCCCAAGCCTGACCTCTGGCCTGTCCCCCCGCCCACACCCCTGGCGGCGCACCAGGTCTTCCTGAAGAGTGACAGCCTGTGTCTCATGGAAGGGCGGCGCTTCCGGGCCCAGCCCACCCTGCCGGCAGCCCGTCTCCTGGCCATGCACATCCAGCAGCTGGAGACCGGGGGCTTCACAATGACCAATGGGGCGCACAGGTGGAGCAAGCTCAGGTGGGAGTCTCCCCCATCCCTCCGCTCCTGAGGCCTGGGCCCCCGCCCCTCGCCCAGCCCTCACCCCAGCCCAGGCCTCCCCACCCGCTGCCCCAGTGACTACAGCCACCTCGTCCTCTGCAGACTTAGTGCCAGCATTTCCCAGTTTGGGCACACGTGCTCCCAAAACATTGCCCCAAGGTTGCTGTGACCTTCCTGTTGGGAGGTCCAGGCCTACCTTGAACCTCATCTCGAGTGGCATGTGACTGCCCTCCATGATCCCCAGCTGTCACATCTCCCCTCCCTGCCTCCACCGTCCCCCTCAGGCCCATCCCTAGAGCTGTGTAGTGTAGACTCATGGTCAGCCCTCAGCCCATTCCTGCCGCCCCAGCACACCTGGGGGCCCAGCTGAGAGGCGCAGATTGGGGATCTGGTTGTAAAATCCACCACCATAACCCCAGCCAAAGAAGACATTGCTCCTTTCTACCTCAGCTGGCACAGCTGTGCCCTCAGAAGCCCCCTGCCACCACCCTGAAGCCCCAGGTCCATGTCTGATGCTGCCCTGGGCCAGCCCATTCCAGGGGGTCCTCACCCCACTTTCCATGCCCACCCTATTCTCCCTCCTCTCCTCTCACTGTCCACACAGCGGGCAGGTGGGGACTGGACAGGACACGGCCGGGGACCTGGAACCAGTGGTTCCAGCCCCTCTGAGCAAGGCCCCTCCCAGTCACCACCTGTAAACAGCGTTTGAGACACCGCAGGACACACGCTGCATGAGATCAGAAACCCAAGCCAGCAGAATGGGGACTGAAAATGTACCGGGATACCCGATGCAGAGAGGGTGGGCTGAGGCTGGTGTTGCTGCTGACCGGCACGGGCACACGGGCTGTCCTGTAACTCACAAGAACGGGGTCATTCACACTGGACACACTGCCTCTTCACCCAGACTCAGGGCAGGAGTATCCTTAGGGCCCGCACCCCCAGGCGCAGGTAAGGGCTTCTACTCAGAGTTCCCAGTTTTCTTGGATGACACACAGGGGCTTCTGGTCACTGCTTAGCCTCTGGCTCTCAGGGAAAGCCCTGGTTCACAGCATTGGCAGGTTCCCGGGTGCAGACACTCACACAGTGGCAGCTGTCCCACTGCCATGCTGACGTCACCAAGCACGGTGCTGGCGACAGCTGTGCCCAGCACACACTGACAACACCGCTTAGGTACCCACATTCCCTGCGCTCCTGTGCGTCAGCAGCTGACACTGGTGCCAGCGCCAAGTGGGTAACATCATCAATGTTTTTGTGGAATGACGGTGGACGGGCAGATGGGTGGGAGGGCGGGCCTTAGCAATGACATGGGGTGCGGCCTCCTGCAGACTGACCTTGTCCCTCCCTCCCCCAACCAGAAACATAGCCAAGGTGGCAAGCCAGGTGCACGCGTTCCAGGAGAACCCCTACACCTTCGCCGCCGACCCCAAGCTGCAGTCGTGTCTCAAACAGAGGATCGCGTGTTTCAGCGGGGCCGACGTCTCCATCCTGGCGGCAGACAGCAGGACCAGCCTCCACCAGGCAGCCAGCGAGAAGCACTCTCGGAAGATCCAGGAGAAGTTACGCAGAATGAAAGCCACCTTCCAGTGACGGAGGACGTGGTGTGGGCGTGGGGTCCACAGCCAGACCCGCGCGACACAAAGGAGCCGCCTGCCCGCTGCCCAGACAGGGCACCAGGAACCCCAACCCCAGAGGACGGGCGCCAGTGGAGGTTGGGGTGTTTCTGCGAGAATATTTACAAATTAAATCTTAACATTCAAGTGAAAATAGAGTAAGCTAGCTCAGCAGGACCTGCACACCGTTCACACATCTGGGAGAGGGGGCTCTGCCACCGCCCCAGTGACCCAGCCCACCCCGCAGACCCACCCACAGATGTTCAGTTGCTTTCTGAGCACTTTTCATGGGTCTGGCCTCTGTCTTCCCAGACACAAAGGACCAAGACTGACCTCTGACCCCCATGCCAACTGCAGATTCCCAAGGGTTCTGACCCCTTCCACTGGGGCCCCTGAGGCTTCCTGTCGGCCAAGCCCCAACCTGGTTTACATTCCCTCCCCCACTACCCCCACCCGTCCTGATGACCTGGCTCACGGAACCCCAGCCCCACAGAGGTGCCAGAGCCGTCCCACCTTCGGGCCTCCCCCATCCTTCCCCTCCCCCATCCCCCCCCATGGCTCCCAGCCCACCTGCCTTTCCCGTGAGCCGGATGCTCCACACTGGCAGCCCCCAGGCGCCCGCTCCCCCCTCCCCCCAACTTACAACAGCTCCTGGTGGGGTCTGTGCCGCCTGGCCAGGGCTCTGCTTCCCAGCAGAGCACACAGGACACAGCAGCTCCAAGGCAGAGAGGTGGCCTCAGGCCCTGAGAGCGTCCCTCTGCCTGTGGGGTGCCCTCAGGGCCCCAGGGCTGTGGCCACTGCCCACCTTTCCTCAGCAGCCATGCATGATTCGCGCGCCCTGTGCCCGGGCTCCCACGCCCCACTCTCACTAGCGCTCTGTCAGCACCGACGTGGAAATGAAGTTTGCTGCCTCGATAGTGGCCAGCTCTTGCACACGGCTGGTGCTGAGTGCTGCCCAGTGGGTGGGGGACGCCCTCGGACAGGGGCCTCTCCCCACAGCGTGAGGCCAGGCCCCAGCACCATCCCCAGCGCCAATGTGGTCAGTTGCAAATCACTGCAAGACCCATAATCACTCTTTTGAGCTTTAGAATTACTGATTTAGGGCAACCGGTTAGCGGTACTTCTAGGAAAACTGCTACTTGTGATACAAGGCTGCACTTCCAATGTCAACGTGTTTCCCACAACCCGTCTGAGACACCCAGGTCCTGCTCGAAAAGGCAGTCCTGGCCGTGCAAATTGTGCTTCGTGTTTTTTTAGGCTTTTATATGAGAATTACGTTCTGCCAATGAACTCCCGTCTTCAGATTTTGAATTTAATAAAGACAGTGTCACAAAGCCTGAAGCGGACTTAATGTCCAGCACAAACACACATTCCACTTGTGACAAGTTGTTTGGGGAAGTGACTGGCTCTGGGCTTAAGCACGACTGATTGCATGGCGCCCTTGTGTCACATGGTACAAATTTCTAAATAAAATCATTTCTACCAAGACAGCGTCCCTGTGGTTCGTCTTGTGCCTCTCCACAGTTATGCTGCTTTGTGGATCAGGGTGGCCTCCTTCATGGCCGGATGAGGACAGTCAGGGTGAGCCAGACGGCACAGGGACGGGCAAGTCAGCCGGCCCGTTCCTCATCCAGGTCCCAGAACCCAGAACTTGCAGGCCTGTGAACAGCAAACTCACTCTGCAGGAGGAAATACTTGCCTCTGGAGGAGAGGGCTGCAAACCACCCAGAATGGCTGACCCACGGCCACCTAGGCCATGGCTCTGCTGAGGCCTGCATGTGGGCATGCACAGGGGCCGCGCCCGGTGGGAGCTGGGCAGCCTTGGAGACAAACCCGAATGAGACCGTCCACAAAACACCTGAACAGTGTCCTGAAAGTGTAGGGACAGGAAAACAAGACGGAGAGGCTGCCACGCCCCACCAGAGACTGAGGATACACAACGACCAAATGCAGGTTCCCGGATGGGGCCCCTGGGACAGAAAAGGGACACCTGGTGCAACCCAAATAAAGTCTGTGGCTCAGGGAACACTAATTCCTTAGCTCTGACAAGCCTACCACAGCCCCGTAAAGGGAGCACGGCGGGGACGCGCAGGGATTCTCGCTGTTTGCAGCCTGACTGCCAATCGTTCCCCCAAACTGCAAAGCTGTACACACTACTGTAGCCAAAATACAGAAATAAAATGGGTTTTTCTTTACTGTTCATTCAATGACCTTGCTAAACTCATTTATCAATTCTAATAATGCGCTTGTAGGTTTTGTACTTTACATGTACACAAGCATAGCATCTGCAAATAATGGCGGTTTTATTTCTTCCCTTCAATGTTTTTTCTTGTCTTACTGCTCTGGCTATGACTTCTAGAACAATGTTGAACAGAAGCGGTCACTTTGGGCATCCTTCTTGTTCCGAATCTCACCGCACGACACTCACTGCAACGTTGCCCAGAAGTTTCTTTCTGCGAAGTGTGTGCGTAAACGGGCACGGCTCCTGTTTACCGGGCACGGCTCCCCGCCGGACCGAGCCCCAGGCTGCCCGCAGGCAGCGACGCACCCCACCAGAAGCGGGGGGCGGAGCCAGCGCAAGATTCACGGGCCAACAGCGTCCCGGGGCGCACCCGAGGCAACAGGCGGGGGCGCGAGGGGGCGCGAGGGGGCGCTCCGGAGGGCCCGGCGGCCCGCCTGCGCAGGGCGAGAGGGCACGGCACATGCGTAAACACGAGTTGAACTTTGCACCGAAGCGCGTCGCCGTGTGACTCTGCACCGCGCGCAGCTTAAAAAGTGCCGCCGCGTCGTTCGGCGGCGCCTTCCCCGGCGGCGGAGGCGGGGCTCCGCTGTGGGCCGACGGCCGGGGCGCCGCGAGGCCCGCGGGGGACCGAGGCGCCGGAGTCGCCGGGGTTGAACTTGGCGCGCGCAGGGGGCGGGGCGCGCGCGCGGGCGGGGCGGAGGGAGGGCCGAGCAGACCCGGCCCGGACGGACTGACGGACGGACTGACGGCGGCTGCGCGGACGGTCCTCA